AGGGAAAAGAATGGGAGTGCTCTATCCTGTTCTCAGAGAAATAGACAGAAATAGGAGTGAGGTTGGGTATTTCCGACCTGGCTTTGCCAGAAGCAGAGGAGTTAGCACCGAAAATATAGTTGGAGGGTTTCCTTCATGCCAGCCTACTTTCTGGAAAACTGTGACTTCTTTATTTCTTAAAAAAACAAAAAATATTGAGTAAAATCCTATAAGACTATTTATAAAGGGAAAGATAATTTTATATACTTATATTTTGATATGAAATTAATTTTTCTTCCTTGAATTGAGATGGGGATGATGAGAAGCTGAAAAGGGAAAAAACCCAGGAGGAAAATATTTTGGATGCCACCAGGACTGCCCTAAATGAAAATCCACAGGTCTAGCGTCTCTGCGAGGTCCTTTGTACTGTACTTGAGCTTCTGGACTATGGATACGGTGTTGTGGTTACATTCTGGCTCAGAAAGAGTTTTTAGTGTTTTTTTCTTTAAGATGTTTAATGTTTAATTTTAAAATTAATGTGTAAATTAATGTATATATTTCTGTAAGTGACATATACTTTAATTGATTTTTCTTGGAGTTACTTTTTTGTGAAGGAATAGTTCTCTAATATCTCTATTTTCAGAGGAGTATTGCTTTTAGGGATAAATTAAAACATAGATAGGTTTCTTTCCTTTCTTTTTAAGGACCTTGGATTATATTGTCTCAAGTTACTCATAGACTGGAACTTGTGGGTTTTAACTCGGGTCAGGTGTGAATGTATTATGGTGCTGACCAATCTTGTCACTAAATCTCCTTTTTAAAAATAAACCCAGCAGGAATTGTTAGGTAGAAGCTTCTCATAGTTTCTTGTTTAGTAAATCTGTGACTGAGGCAAACAGGCTGTCTTAAAAATTTCTTTTTTATTGAGGCATAATTAACATACAACGTTATATTAGTTTCAGATGTATTACCTAATGATTCGATATTTATATGTATGGTGAAATGATCACCACAGTAAGTCAACATCCATCACCATATATAGTTAAAAAAATTTTTTTTTCCTGTCTTAAAATTTTAGAGTTGTCATTCTTACTTTATTGGACTTCCTCTCTGGCTAGGAGAAACTTTCATTTTTAAATTGAACTTGTAGAAAAAGCCTTGGTATGAGTTTTCCTCCCATAGTTCTTTGCTTGTTGTTTTTCTTCAAGGAGACCAAGGGAAGTATTAGAAGATGAACTTCCTGTTAAAAAAAAACTTCCTCATTTGTTGGTTCTCTGAGCTCTGAGCTGTAATAGTACCCCTATATTATAACTATTTTTCAGATTATCTTTAAGTTATGAAATTATCATTTGCCTAAATATTCTCATCTCCCTTTGTAAGCTACTTGAGGACAGCACGCAGCATCCTTCAGAGTAAGTGCTTTTCAGAACTTATTTAACCAGTGAATGAATCTAGGCTCTGTCATCAACCTCCCTGTCTATTCTTATTTCCCTACTGGTACTGACAGACTCTTCTATTACAGTCAGATGGTGTCATCACTTTTTCCTGGCGGGTTCATTCCCATCTCTTTGCCTTTGCAGTGACTGTTTTCTTTGTCAGGACTGCCTTTTCTCCTATTAAAATTTACCCGTGTCTAATGGCCTGGCTGATGTCCCCTCATCATAAAACCATCTGACTGCTTTAGTCCATATTAATCTCTTCTATTTTTAAACTATTGTTGTATTCAGTAACACAGTTTAACACTTAACTGACCACTATTTATTTGTTCCATTTCTGTTATTTTTGCCTCCTCAGTTAGACTTTACATTTCTTGAATGTAATGACTAGGTCTTCTACCTTTTGGAACTTGTAAGGTACTGAATATATTAATATATCAATAAATGTATGTATTGAGTGCGTATATTTGTAAGATCTTTTGAGAGGGTGAGAGATGCACAGAAGGCAGATTCCCTGCTTTCAAGGAGCTTTCAATCTAGTAACTTCTCAACAAATGGCTGTTTGGGTTTTAAAAGTATTAATTTAGATAATTATCTTTTGAGTACTTAGAAGCATTTTTATTTTCTACGCAAGTGATAAGATAGCATTTAAACAATCTCATTTGAAATGATTCTGGGAAGATGGCAGCTTGAGCACATTTCTCCTGCCCTTTTCTTTTTTTAACTCGGGTCAAGTAAAATAACAATTTCAAAGATTCGAACAAAAATACCAAGAGTTAGAATGGGAACTCATGAAGATAAAGTGAAAGGACTTGAAGGATAGATCCAGGAAACCTAAAATGGAAATAATAAGAATCTTAAAAGGAGAAATAAGTAATAGAATAAAAATTCCCCAAGCTGAAAAAAGATTCCCTGTAAACTGAAAAAGACTGCAGGTTGAAAGAGTTCACTGTGTTCCAGGCAAGGTTGATGAGAAAAGGCACAAACCTAGGCATGTTCTGATAAAATTCCTGAATTCAGTGATAAAGAAAAAAACCTCTACAAGCTCCTAGGTAGAAAGATAAAGTTAAAACTACAACAACAACAAGAAAACAGACTATTCTCATTTGCAGTACTACAACTTTGGTGATGGTGTAACAAACATCCACAGAGGATTTAGAGAGAGGTCTACACTGCAAGAATCCTGTATGCAGTCTAGATATTATTCACCTTTCAAAGAAAAGAAGGCTTTATGTGAGTGTGCAAGGATTCAGAGATTATATCACCCATAGACTCCAATGTGAGCAGTATCCTCTAATCAAAGAGATAATACAAAACAGAGACCCCGCCCCCCAAGGTAGAAGGAGGAGAGGAAACAGTGATGGACAATGGACTTTGAAATATATATAATTACGTCTATTGAGAGTGACAAGGAATGTGTAATATAAATGCTAAATAAGGATCTTTGAAATAGAAGAGACATATTGCAAGAGAAAACCTAGCTGTCTGAGTGAAATATTCTAAATGATTTTAGCAAAACTCAGACATTGTGGGACAGGGTAGTGCGGGGGTAGGTGAGAAGTAAAAACATTAGTTGGTATCATTGGGATGTTGCCAGGGGAAAGTATGGAAATGAACAGCCTTGTTGAGGAGAAAATACTTCATTTATAATAGTGTTAAGAATTATGAACTACTTAAAGATAAATATCATAAGAAAGGTATAGGATCTATATGAAGAAAATTGTAAAATCTTAAGGATGTAAAAAACAAGATCTGAAAAAATGGAAATACATGTCATGCTCCTGGATGGGAAGACCAAATATATATAAATTTAGGGGAAATCAATTAACAACTCCAATGGAGAGTTCTCTTGGGGGTGGGAAATTAAATAAAATGATCTCAGTGTTCATGTGGAAGAATAAATGTTTTAGAATAGCCAAGAAAATTTAGAAAATAGTGAGGTGGTCCTTACTTTACTGTGTATTAAAACAGATTCTAATATTACTATACTCAAAGCAGTATGGTATTAGCATTCAACTAAGTATGAGTGAACAGAATAAAGTGCTCAAATCCTTGTATATGTAGCAAAAATAATTGTGAAAACATGAAAGTTTCATGGGCTTAGACCAGCTGTCTTTCCAATTGTCTCAAATTAGAAAAGCTCTTAAAGTAAGTTGCTTAAGACTCCATAGGACATTCAGAAATACTGAAATTCTTGAGATTTTATTTATCCTGCCTAGAGGA